CCCCTCTCGACCCGCCCGCCCCCCAGCGTGCCCGCGGGTGCTGGCAAACGATCACATTGGTAGGAGGATGCTGGCGAGGATGGGGAGGAGGGATTGGGGGATTCGGGATGATGATGATGCTGATGATGATGATGATGATGATGATGATGATGATGATGATGATGCTGATGCCGATGCTGATGCTGATGCTGATGCTGATGCTGATGCTGATGCTGATGCTGATGCTGATGCTGATGCCGATGCTGATGCTGATGCTGATGCTGATGCTGATGCTGCTGCTGCTGCTGATGCTGATGCTGATGCCGATGCTGATGATGTTGATGATGATGAGTCCGATGATGCTGACGATGATGATGATGCTGATGATGATGATGATGATGATGATGATGATGATGATGATGGTGGTGGTGGTGGTGGTGTTGGTGGCGATGACGATGATGCTGCTGTTGATGCTGATGAGGATGATGATGGCGATGATCATGATGATGATACTGATTATGCTGCTGATGATGATGTTGATGATGTTGATGTTGATGATGCTGCTGATGATGCTGGAGATGAGACTGATAATGATGATAATGATGATGATGATGATGATGCTGCGGTTGATGCTGATGTTGGTGATTTTACTGATGATGATGCTGATGATGATGATGATGACGATGATGATGATGATGATGCTGATCATACTGGTGATGTTGTTAAGGATGATTTCGATGATGCTGATGCTGATGCTGATGCTGCTGCTGATGATGAAGATGATGATGCGTATGATGATGGCGATACTGATGATGACGATGATGATGCTGATGATTGTGATGCTGATGACGACTGTGATGCGGCTGATGAGGATGATGATGATGCTGAGGAGAAGGATGAGGATGATATGGACGAGGAGGCTTATACTTATGATGGCGATGATGAGGATGGCGGTGATGACGATGATGATGATGCTGCTGATGATGATGATTGTGATGATCCTGCTGAGGCTGGTGATGATGATGCTGATGGTGATGCTGCCGATGATGACGATAATGATGACGACGATGCTGAGCCTGATGATGTTGATGATGCTGATTATGATGATGATGCTGCTGCTAATGATGGTACTGATGATGCTGATGATGATGCTGATGCTGATGATGCCAATGATGCTGCTGCTGATGGTGATACTGATGCTGATGCTGCTGCTGATGATAAGGACGATGCTGATGATGATGTTGATGATGAGGATGCTGCAGATGATGCTGATGAGGATGATGAGGATGCTGATGATGATGCTGATGCTGATGATGATGACGATACTGATGATGATGCTGCTGATGATGATGACGATTATGATGATGAGTATGATGCTGATGATGCTGATGATGATGCTGATGATGATGATGATGATGCTGATGAGGCTGATGATGCTGATGATGATGCTGATGATGATGCTGGTGATGATGCTGATGATGCTGATGATAATAATGATGGTGCTGATGATGATGATGATGATGATGCTGATGCTGATGCTGATGCTGATGATGATGATGATGATGATGATCCTACTGGTGATGTTGTTAAGGATGATTTCGATGATGCTGATGCTGCTGCTGATGATGAGGAGGATGATGATAATGATGATGCTGCTGCTGACGATGTTGCTGCTGCTGCTGCTGATGATGATGATGATGATGATGATGATGCTGATGGTGATGGTGATGGTGATGATGATGATACTGCTGCTGCTGCTGATGATGATGATGATGATGATGCTGATGCTGATGCTGATGCTGATGCTGATGCTGATGCTGCTGATGATGGCGATGCTGATGATGATGCTGATGATGATGTTGATGCTGCTGATGATGCTGATGCTGATGATGTTTGATGATGCTGATGCTGCTGAGGAGGAGGAGGAGAAGGAGGAGGAGGAGGAGGAGGAGGAGGAGAAGGACGGGGAGGAGGAGGAGGAGGAGGAGGAGGAGGAGGAGAAGGACGGGGAGGAGGAGGAGGAGGAGGAGGAGGAGGACGAGGAGGAGGAGGAGGAGGAGGAGGCGGAGGCGGAGGCGGATGGGAACGGGGAGGGCATGGATGAGGGGAGGGCAGGTGAACCCCAGGGCTTGTTTTTCGACCTGTTTTTTCTGTTGGATGGCCTGGGAAGCCGATCACGGCCTCTAGACGCCGAACCTTCTCTCATCCCTTTTGGTTGGTCAGGAAGTCGGAGGCCTGGCGCAGACGCAGGAGTCGGCGGAGGATGCGCCCTGACTGCGCGTCTCGGGCCGTGAATGTCAAGAACACCCGTCGCGCCGCCGCCCCTGGGGCCTCCGCCCGGGGGCCCCAGCCCGCGGCCGCCCCCGGGAAGCGGGCCGCGAGCTATTGCGACGGCCGCGCCCGCGGGCGGCGGCGCATAGGCTGCGGGCCTCCTGGGCGGCTGCCGCGCCATCCGCCCGCGGGCGGGTTGGCCAGAGCGCGGGCCAGGCGGGGCGAGGGGGGCGGGGGCGGGTGGCGCTCCAGGAGGGGTGAAGGCGGGGAAAGAGGGGACGGGAATGAAAAAGGAGGAGGAGGAGGAGGAGGAGGAGGGGTCTGTCATGAGGATTGCTCGTCTTAGGTACCTGCCTGGGGTCCTTCGTTCCGCCCCAGCTGCGCTACGTGTCGCGCTTGATTGTATTTGGGATGTTCCTAACAGCTGGGTGCAGGCCCTGAAGGAGGACCTTGCTTGGCTTAACAGCTGTGACAACCAGCTTGGCATCCCACACAGTGGGTCGGCGGAGGGTTGGATCGTACATGCTCGCACTAACACCAGGGTCTTTTTGAATTTAGTTGCCGAGGCCGCCAAACGGGAGTTGTTTGTTCAACAGCAGGCCCATGCTGCCAAGGAACTTCTTTGTGTGGTGCAAAAACTGGTCGTGCTTCCCCTTGCTACCGCCTCTCCTGCCGTTGTGGACGGGGACGGCACCCCCGAGCGCCAGTTTGGCGAAAGCCAAGAGAGGGCTGGCCAATCACGAGAGTGAAGCTCATAACAGCGACAGGGTCCCGACCACCTGGGCCAGGGGGACGGTCTGCCAGATTTCCAATGGGGAGGTCGCCTCGGCAAGCATCTGAAACAGCGGGCTGCGGGCTGCGATGTGTGGGCTGACCTTGGCAGGAGGCCCGAGCCCGATGAGTTACCAAGGGCTCCCACGAGGGCGCGAAGTTATTCGCGCTTCGCGGTCCTCGTTCCTTCTCCTCCTCCTCCTCGTCCTCCTATTCTCCCTTTGGGAGGGCGGCGCGAGAGCGCGAAGTTATTCGCGCTTCGCGCAGCGCGAAGCGCGAACTTAGGAGCCCTTGAGTTACAAGCAGCAGAGAGATAACCGTAAAGGACGGGTGCACGAGAGCATGATGTGGCCAAGCCAAGGGCGCCCATCGGGTGCATGGGCCCCAGCTGGCCACTAAAGACGGACGAGGTAGAGGCAGCGTTGTTGATGCTCCTTCTGCGGATGTCTGGGTCCCAGATCGTGTTGCGCCGACGCTGCCCAGACCGCTCCACGATTTCCGCCCCCTTTTTGTTGCTTGTCGCCGCTAGCAGCCAGCAGAAGCGACGGCGACTTTCACCAACGCGTTGGGAGCTGCTCGCATCAGAGGCTTGTGCCAGTTGCAGTGGCACACGTGTCGGTGGAGGACTTCCTGGGGCAGGTTGCGTTTTGAACTGGCGTTATGGCCAAGGGAGAGATTGCTGGCGGATGTTTGTTTCTGTTCCGCGGTTTGCTGCCACTCTTCGCGGTGGCGTGAAGCAGCTGCGCCTTCCCGAGCACCCTTGGGGGCGCCTTGCAACCTCCAGGAACGATGTGTGCTAGATTGGCAGAACGGCTGCATTCGGGCTGCTAGTTGCGTGTGCGCTCATGCTTGTGCCCTGGGTATCCCATGGCTGACGGTTGCTGAGCAGCAGGTTGTACGCATAATGGGATTCGACGATCTTCCTCTCCTCTCGGCCCTTGTCTCCTTGCCTCAGGTCCAAGTGTCTAAATGCGAGGTCTGCGCCAGAACCCATAGGACCGTGTGGGATGCTCTCTGCATCGTGGCGAGCTCATCTCTGATTTTATCGACCAGGATGCGTGCGGAGGGGGGATGGAGGTGCAACGGGGACCATGGGCATGACTGCAGGGAGCAGATGCAACAGGAGAGTTTGTGTGCCGGCTTCCCAGCTTGCCTGTACCGCCTGTTGGCAGACTCGGTGTGCGATGTGTGGTGCAGGGGCGGTCTCAAGCATATGAGCGAAGAGGCGATATGTCTCCCTCTTGGCCTTGCCCACTTGGACCCGTTTCTGACGTAGGTCCGTGGCCTCTCTGCACGTCCTGGGTGGTGGTTGGCGGGGACCCCTGATGTCACCACAACCCTGCGCTTGTGTCGTGCTCTTTTTTTCTTCTCACCATCCTTCTTCTCACCATCCTAGAAGAGGCTGCGTACTCATCGGCCTTCAGTCCGCGAGCGAGCGAGCGAGCGAGCGAGGAGGAGGAGGAGGAGGAAGAGGAGCCGCGCCCGCCCCCCTCGCGCCCGACCCTCCTGTGGGCGCCGCCAAGTCTTAGGGGCGACCAGCGGTACCTCAGGCTCGTGTTGGCTTGAAGCGGTGTCATTCCCGCCGCGGGCGTTCGAGGTTGAACGCTGCTGGTGGCCCTGAGTTGGCCAACGTTGAGCCATCTGGCGATGGAAAAGCCGCCGATCGTTTAAGGTTGAACGATCCACGCGCTGTCGGAACCCCCACCTCTGGGGCCAGCACGACACGAACCTGCTGCACGTTTGCTCCGGATCTGTCTGGGATAGTCCTGGGCCAGGAGTGGGCCTGGCAAGCATCGGTGTGGGTGGGTGTGGAGATCGACGTTTTTTATGGATGTTTCGCTCGCATCACTTTCGGGTGCGTGGCCACCTCGCCTGCTGGCGCAGCCGTCTCGGTACCCGCTTCGTGCGTGCGTGGGTCTTCAACTTGTGTGTCCTGGCTGTGCCTGCGACTCGTGAGGAGAGGGGCCCCTCAGTGTGAGCAGAAGAGAGCGACTAAGACGCCAACCGCGACGAGGACGGCGGCGGCGGCGCCGTTAACTTCGAGAGCGCGAATATGGAGGACAGAGTTGGGGAGGAGGAATGGGGGATGAAGACGAGGAGGAGGAGAAGGAGAAGGAGGAAGAGGAGGAAGAGGAGGAGGCGGAGAGGAGAAGGTGGACCAGTGTAAACCAAAGACTCATCAACGATATGGCAATGAATCCTCCCTCCAAGTTCCTTCTTCATACGTAGGCCCTTGCAAGGATTCGTTTTCACTGCGGGAAGTACTCCGTTGAAAGACAACAGATTGAAAATCCAGAACTGTGCCAGAACACCGCTCCTGGACTTCAACTCGGCGAATCACCTAGATTGTCCCGTCTTGACGATTCTAAATCGTGCCAAAACGCCGTTGTCTTGTCTCCAGCTCCTCTTCCTCTTTCCCCTCCTGCTCGTCCCCCCTCCGCCCTCTCGCCTCAACCGCAATTCGGTGATGCCCCGGGCACCCAGCCGCCCATCGGCGATGCAGTCCTCTCCACTCCCAACCGCCAGAGGGCGAGGGCCCCTGCGAGTGCGCACGTGCTGCCATGTCCGTGGCCGCTTGGGCTCCCGCATCGGCTCAGGCAGCAGCTCCTGCTGCTGCTGCTCCTGCTGCTGCTGCTGCTCCTGCTGCTGCTGCTGTTGCTGCTGCTGCTTCTCCCCTCATTCCTCCACCGCCTCCTCCTTCGTTCCCGCTTGGCTCCTGTCAGCTCGCACGAGTCGCGCGAAACTGCCTCACGCGCCGTGCGTTCCGTGCTCTGGACCCCGCGGGCGGCGGCCTGGTACTCGAGGGCCGCCGCCGCACTCGACCCAGTGCTCCTGGGGACTCCATGGGGCCCTGCCAGAGCCGCCGGGCGATGAGAATGATGACGTTCTCGCCGCCAGGGAGTGCGCTCTCGCAGCAGGGCGAGCCAGCTCCAAACACGCTTGTGGGCTGCTCCTCACAGGATCGCAAAGACGCGTGAGCAGAATAGTCTTCATCAGCGCCGAGAAGGAGGAGGAGGAGGAGGAGGAGGCAAACTCAGTGTGGACTTCTCGTCGTGTGCGTGCGCTTGTCTTGCGGGTTGTGTGTGTATAAATAATATAACGTGGGACCAGGCCCGGGGGCCCGGGGGCCACGACCTCTACCACAAATGGTGGTGTCCAGGCCCTTGGGGGGCCCCAGAGGCCCACAAAACGCCACCAGAAAGCGCCAAAAGAGCGCGAAGACGCGCCAAGAAGGACCCGCGACGCCCACAGGCCGCTCCAAAACGCACAGGCCGCTCCGAGACGCACAAAATGGCTCCTAAGGCACCCCAAAAGGCCTCCCAGACGCCTCCTGCGACGCTCTCAGAGGCCCCCCAGGAGGCCCCAAGAGGCAAAGGTCGGTCCATTCCCGTAGGGAAGCGTATTTGTTTCGCATATATACCTCTTGGGCTTTCACAGTGTCCAAGACGGCCCAAGAGGCCCCCAAGACTGCCCTATACAGGCTCACAAGAGGGCTCCACGACGACCCCAAGAGGGTCCCAAGACGGCCCGAGAGTTCCGCAAAACAGCCCAAGAGAGCCCATTCAAATTCTGAGCTTTCGGCCCCAGAGGCCCCCAGGGGGCCCCAAGAGGTCCCCAGGAGGCCCCAAGAGGCCCCCAAGAGGCCCCAAGAGGCCCCCAAGAGACCCCCAGGAGGCTCCCAAGTGGCGTCCAGGAGGCCCTCAGGAGGGCCCCAAGGGGCAAAAGTCGCTCCGTTCCCTCCGGGAAACGTATCTTTTTTCGCATACATATACTTCTTTGGTTTTCACAGCGTCCAAGACGGCCCAAGAGGCTCCTAAGACTGCCCCACAGGCTCCCAAGAGGGCTCCAGGACGACCCCAAGAGGGTCCCAAGACGGCCCGAGAGTCCCGCAAACAGCCCAAGAGAGCCCCAGCCCCAGAGGGGTCCCAGAGATACACAACCATATTCAAATTCCGAGCTTTCGGCCCTAGAGGCTCCCAGGAGGCCCCAAGAGGTCCCCAGGCGAGGCGGCCCCAAGAGGCCCCAAGAGGCCCCCAAGACACCCCCAGGAGGCTCCCAAGAGGCCCCCAAGCGGGCCCCACGAGGCAAACTTCGTTCAATTCCTTGGGGGAAACGTATCGTTTTCGCATGTATACCTTTTTGGCTTTCACAGCGTCCAAGACGGTCCAAGAGGCCCCCAAGACTGCCCCACAGGCTCCCAAGAGGGCTTCAAGACGACCCCAAGAGGGTCCCAAGACGGCCCGAGAGGCCCCGACAGCCCAAGAGAGCCCCAGGACGAGCCCCAGAGGGGTCCCAGAGGTGCAAAACCAGTTCGGCCCCAGAGGCTCCCAGGAGGCCCCAAGAGGTCCCCAGGAGGCCCCAAGAGGCCCCCAAGAGGCCCCCAAGAGTCACCCGGGAGGCTCCCAAGATGCCCTCGGGAGGATCCCTAGAGGCTCCCAAACTGCCTCCAAGACGCCCTTGGGAGGCCTCTAAGATGCCTTCGCCCCCCCAAGAGGGCCCACACTGGCCTTCTGGTGAACATTACGACGGATACGATGAAATTATCCCGGCAAAGCAACCTAACATCGATGTGTAGGAGCATATCTGGAAGCATTCCCCTTAAGATTCGGATGAGAATCCAGTTGTAGAATTCTGCTGTTCTCGCAGTCGTAGTCGCATTCGCGATGACAGTCGCAGTGGCAACGGCAGTCGCAGTCACAGCCTCAGCCTCAGCCTGCCTCAGCCTCAGCCTCAGCCTGCCTCAGCCTCAGCCTGCCTCAGCCT